TTTAACGTTGAGAAGCTGATTCCTGGAATACGGAGAATCAGTCCAAGAAGTTTGAGAAACCGCCTGGATGAACAGAACATTCGTCCAAAAGATCCCACTATCAACCCCATCCTGCATTGACATCATAGTGTTACATGCCTTTCCTAGTGCAGAAGACATCTCACATTTACTAGACAGGATTGGGCGTGTATCTAGTTTTCAGAGGAGTCTCGGTTCAACTGGGAAAGAAGTGTTGGAGAGCATTTTCAGGACATTTGTCCCTTCCGTAACAAGACAGCAAATGGCAGAACGCCTCTGGTGGTCATTGATGGAAAGTTGCCTGGTACAGTCTACCACAATCAGATCCTGCAAGCTAACATAATCCCGTTTGTGCAACAAAATCCCGTTATGCTGTAATAAGATCTATGCTAGACCACACGTTGCATGTGTTGCGACTGATTTTTTGGGTAGAAAAGCTAGGGGCACCGATACAACCTCTTATTCTATTTATCTACTGTCACTTCATCTCTATCTGAACAGAAAGCCTGCCGCTATGATTAACTCATTCACCCCTGAAGACACATTTGAACTCTTCCAATTCAAAGGTTGGAATAGTTCATTGTGAACTTTCAGGGGTGAATGGGTTAAAGATATGATATATGATAATATAATAGTATGAAGGTAACATGGGATACATAACAGCCACTACATACTATACTAGTATAATATTCTCTCGCCTCTCTAAACATGTGTACCGTACATGGAACCCTCATGCGGGATCACACGAGTGCACTCAGTGACCAAAACTATTATCATGTCACAATCAGACGACAGCATAGTATTATGATATTATAATCAAAACACATCATTTTTTTTTTTTAAATATTGGACAATCTAGCCATCGGCAAGTGACACTAGCTTATGAACTTCAGAGTTATTGCATAAGCTTGACCTGAAGTTCTTGCATAGATATTTGAATTTGAAGTATACCTTTAGTATACCATACTTTTTCTAAATATGCTCTTATAGGTGAATATGGTATCTAGAAATTTTGCTTAATGAATGTTGAATTAACATTGTCCATGTTGTGTTTTGCAAAAGCTTCAGGTAAGAGGTAGAAGGAGGAGAGTCAATCAATATGTAGGTATGTATGCTTAGTATTCTAACAGGATATATTATATAGTCACCACATATACTAGAAACAGGATATATAGGCACCACATATACTGGTAACAGGATATATTATATAGTCACCACATATACTAGAAACAGGATATATAGGCACCACATATACTGGTAACAGGATATATTATATAGTCACCACATATACT